GCATTTATTAGCTTTCACCCACAAGACAGAAATCTCACCAGACTGAATCTAAACTCCCCAAGCCAGCAAGCAAACACCGTGAATTCCTTAAGGTGGTGCCAGTCTCATCCTCTTCACCTTCCCACGCTCTTTCTGGGGGCTAAGGAAATGCTTATCTCCCCGAGCGCGGCCTTCGCCAAACCATTCCATCACATGAGGGGAGATGGGGGTGGGGGGAGTTGGAGGTAGTCCCTTAACTGAGGGTCAGGGCTGGGAGGGACCGAGCCCGGAATGAACTGGCAGAATTCACTTAATGACTGCAGTGGGGAGTGCTGGGATTGCAGTTGCTAAGCGATGTGGTCACATGACATCTCATTTTATGACATCATTGCGTAGCAATGGAAATTCAGTCCCAATTGTGGTCGTAAGTCAAGGACTACTTGTAGTCCAATGAATGGACTCCATGATCAATTAGTTTGATGGCTCATTCTCACAACATGTTAATGCATCAGCTGGGTGCCTGCAACATGCCACAGACCCACTCTGTTATGTGCATTGTTAGGCTCTCCGTCCCAGCCAGACTTCAAGCTAGATGCAAAGTAGAACAAGAAAACTAATTAGTTCACAACTGACTGTTGCCTCCCTTGATAATGAAAAGTGGGTGAGAAGGTAGAAATTCAGATGTTGTCTATGCTGGTTGAAACTGAGGTTCCTCCATGGATCTAAAGACCATTGAAGATAGAGATAGACACTATCCTTGGGCAAGGAGTTCCACAGTCTGGGAGCTGTTCCTGTGAAGATTCTATCTTGGGGATAGACACACAGACCTGGACCTTCATGAAAGGTCTGAGCAAGTAGCCAGGAAGTCCTATAAACTGGAGGGCCCCATCAGTCTTGCAAGAAGCATCTGTGGAAGGTCCCTTCTGAGCAATGGCCAAGAAATCCCAGATCCCAAGATTGCGGCTGAAGTAGTAGAGCTTGTTGAGAAGAAGTTGGGCAGTCTCTCTCTTTTCCCCAGTAGAGCCTGCTGCCCCTGACTGGGAAGGAGCCCGTGGATTTTCCAACCTTAGTGGAGACGTGGTTAACCCAAGTATGCCAATTACTGCATGTCCCTCTGGAGAGGGTGAGTGGTGGAGAGCGGGCAGCGTTCATGTCCTATGCCATTGCCTACCCACACAACTTCCAAGGGCTGGTGGACACCTACTGCGTCATGAGGTAAGAAAAGTCAAGGCTGAAAACCCCAGTTTTAGTTGGAATCTGAGTGGCTGTGATTTTGGGTGGGGCTGGCCTGGTCATCTTTGTCTGGGCTCAAAAGCTAAGCAGCGACAGGGCTGTCACACTCCACATTTCTCAGTAAATTGTACTTCTGGCACAGGTTGATGATATTTTGGAATAAGGTATGCTAATAAGTCATTTTTTTCTGCATTCTCCTGAATGCCTCTAACCCTTGTTCCTTCTGTTTTTCCCCTGCACCTCAGCCAAGTCCAATATCATGTTCATAATATCTTTTTGAATTGTTCCAGTCTCTCTCTAATTTTTTACAACAGTGTTGTACGCCTCGCTAGCTGTCTGAGCAGCCTCTGAAATCTGTTCAGTCATATCCTAATGGCTTTTTAAGATGGTCAGGCCTACCTTCAAAGTCTTTTTGAAGTACTGTTGTTGATTTATCCCATACTGATTTTAATTCCTGCTTGAGCTGTTCCATCGATAGTTGAATTATTTATTCCACATCCTGATTCCAGCCAGAACAATGTTTTGTCTTCAGTCATACTCTTTGGAGCCCGTCGTGTTTTCGGATTGTATGACTACTTTCAGTCCAGGCTGTTGTATTTTCTTGTTTTAAGTTTAAAATCTAACTCTTTTAACTGCATTTTGTGATGTTGAAAGCCACCTAGAGTCTTTTGGAGAGGGTGGCCATAATAAATCTAAATAATAATAACAGTTATAACAATAATAACGATACCTTTAACACCATCAGACAACATCTGCCTATCCCAGGTCCTTGGGAAGGACTCGATAGGCAGATAAAAATGCCAGCTCCAGTCTAAACATCTGGCTGACGGTGTGACCAATCATAATAATCCATTTCTTCATTACTAGAAGGGGGTACCGCTTCAGCACTCTGTGAATCTTCCATATACGCCTTTATTCCTTTATCTTTTTGTGAAGTTCTTTTTCTGGACATCTCTGCTGATTATTCTTATCAGCCAGTGAAGTTTTTAACCAAAATTGAATGGCAAAGATTTTATTGTAGCTGGTTCAGGAGGAGGGCTACAGCTTAGCATGCCCTCTTTCTCCATGAGTAGCCACCACGCCTGCGCCACTTAAAAGTGCTGATCCTCCTTTTATTCCTCAGGGGCATTAAGACATAAAAGGAGGGATCGGGACTTAAACTGGGGTCTCGGTTAGCCAAAGGACTTCAACCACGTCTTAAAAGATCTTAAGGGGGTAAAGGAGAAACAAAGAACAGCCAGCTCTGTAAGTCCCAAGGCTTTATCCCCTTTTGAAAGCCAGGCATCTCAGCCTGATTGACACCTTGGTATTCCCAGGAGTGGCATCCCCAACTTCTGTGCCGTCGCCCTCGCACTGAGTCAACTGGGATACCGAGCCATCGGAGTCCGGCTGGACAGCGGGGACCTGGCCAAGCAGTCAGTGGAGATCCGGCACATCTTTCGGACCTGTAGCAAGCAGTGAGTTTGGTGGTGTTGGGCTGGTTTGATTTTGTCTGTGTGGGAGGGGGAGGTCTTAGTGGGAGGGAAAGATCCCCCCCAAGGCTGATCAAACTAAACCTTTCATTTAATCCAAGACTAGTCAACCTTAGGACTACAGTTTTCCTCCCTCCCCTGCCAAGCTTGCAGACAGTGTGGCCGGTGACATTGTGACATCCTCTGGAAACTGAAATGTCCAGACCTTTTGTTGTGTATTTTGGATTTGGAGGGAGGAGCACTTACAGGAAGAAGGGATGCTCATGTTGTTCCTTAAAAATAAACTAGCCAGATTTCTTTTGGTCCACAGTTTTGTTCCCCAAAGCACCCCTCTCTCTAATCCTGATTTGTGTCCACCTGAAGTCATCCTTCGGTTCAGGGTGAGGAACCTTCAAGAGGCAGATAATAGCCAGTTGCAGGTCCCACCCCAGGCTGGTGGAGAGATGGGGTGGAAACCCTGTCCTGGTACCTGGAGGGCCTGGATTGAGAGGAGCAGGCTCTAACTGGATCCCTCTGAGGCAGAGCAGCAGTTCATTCAGAAGACCCCTGATTCGGGGTCATCCTGACCTTGACTCTTGGCGGGTGGCGCTGATTGCCTGCTGTCTGGGGTTCCTTCTGGATTCACGGCTCCTGCCAGAAGAGCAGATCATCTGTGGCCAGGAGGACCTTTGCCCAGCTCTCATTAGTGTGCGATTTGCAGCCTTGCCTGAAACAGCCACTCGCGCCCTGGATTGTTGCGCTTTGCTTTACAAGGGGCTGCCCTTGAAGACCGCCTGGAAGCTTCAGCCGGTGCAAAATGGGTTATCCTGTGTGCTCACTGGGCATTCTTGTCACCACTGGGTTACACCACTGTTCTGGAGCTGCATTTAGCTACTGGTGTGTTTCTGAGTGCAATTCAAGATGCTGGTTATCACCTATGAAGCTCTAAAGGGCTTTGGTACCTGAGGGATGATCACTTTCCCCAGCGGCTTCTGCCTGCCCCATCCAGGTAGCTGGAGGCTCCCCAGCAGGGGGTCTCCGGGGGTCTCCCCTCCTTTGCAACAGCCTGACTCCTGAATTGAATGGGGGGCTTCCACTCTTGTGGCCTTCCAGAGCTGTTTTAGACTCTTTGTGTTAATTATTATTAATTGTATTATCGTTGCTTTATTCAATAGTTGAATTCTGAACATTGCCCGGAATCCCTCAGATTGAGGCCCTAAATAAATCTTGTCTCTCCGTAAAGGAATAGAGTCCAAATTAAAAAAATCTGAAAGGTTTACCACCCCCCACTTGACAGAAAGAGTTTAAATTCTGCAGAAGCATCAACTCCACCTTTGGAGCTGCTGATATGGAAATGAACGTTTGGTGGGTTTGCATCCTCGGGAGGGAAGGACTGGGCAGAGCGTTGCTCTGGATCCAGATCCAGTCCCTGCCACTGATGGGAAAAGTTGGAGACGGTTGGCACGGGCTGTGGAAGTGGCTGTGTGTTGGAGTGGAAAAATGAGGGGCTTCTGGACTCTGTAGGGGGTGGGCCTCCTAACCCCTGTGTCTTCCCTTCCAGTTTCCACGTCCCTTGGTTTGAAACGATACCCATCACGGTAAGCAATGATGTCAGCGAACAGAGCCTGGAAGAACTGTCTCGAGAGGTGAGGATGTGCTTATGCAGCTGGCATGGGGTGGGTGATATTTTAGGGTGCTGGCTGGAGCCCCAAAGCTTTCCTATCCTTTGCAGTGAGGAACAGAGAGAGAGGATCTTTAACGTGGCAACGGGGTTGTAAAGGTCTGCAGCCGTCAGAATTCCTCCAGTTCTATTCCCCTGTCCTGTTTTTTTTTTCAATTCGGGCACAGCCGACTCTCCTCCAGCTGAAGAGAGAGACGCCAGTCAATATGCTGATAAGGCTCTTCAAATTGTACAGCGTCTTACTGTTAAAATGCACGCCAAGTGCATTTCCTAAATTTGCATCATACGCTGAATCACCTTCTAACCAAGTTGGCTGGGTTTGCACAATGTTCTAAACCCCCGCAAAAGACTAACTAAGTTTAAACTCAGGTTGTTGTGAAAATGCAGCTGCTGTTTGTTTGTTTTTTTACCTGTCTGTGCAAATACAGCTGATGTATATTAACCACATTATGCCAAATGGTTAAGCCTGTATCTGGATCTCATGCACGGTAGAAGTTATGCAGGAAGTCCTTGTTTATTATTATTATTATATAATATTTGTCTTAACTCTTAATTGTTGTTATTTATGAGTTTTGTTTTTGTTATTTTAACTTGTGAGCTGCCCAGAGTCACGTATGTGAGATGGGCAGCTCTATAAATTGGATGAAATAAATAAGTGAAAACAATATATAACAATATAATTATTAAAAGCCACATGCCAATGTGTAAACATAGGAGGACGTGAATTTTTCCAAAGAAGTGTGTGGTAGGAAAGATTGGGCCCAGTACAGAGTGGAGTACCGTGTATTTTAGCAGCAGAAGAAATACTTGTGTAGTGATAGTGGCGCGGTGTGATAAATAGTGCATCTCGTGTGTCTTAGGAGCTATCAAAGCAGTCCAGATTATCACCCCATATTTATATTATTATCCCCGTACCGCAGATGGGTGGAGAGAAAGACTGAGGCTACTCACTAAACGGAGGGTTGAAGCACAGGTTCATAACGTGGGTTCCTTCAAGACAGGAGAGGAAACTCTTCTCTTGAGGTTCAAAAGCCTGGCCTGCTCCTGATTTGAGTGACAGTGGGAGATTTTGTGATAAATCTGTGCACCTGGGTTCGGGAGTTACCCTTTGGTCTCGCTGTGCTCCTCACAGGGCAATGAAATCAATATGATTGGCGTTGGGACCCACCTGGTGACGTGTCCTCTTCAGACGACCTTAGGCTGTGTCTACAAGGTAACTGTTCCCCCCACCCGATGAGAGCGACGTTTTGGCAGGGTGTAAAGGAGGAGACGCTATTCAGGCATTCCTGTGGCGTTGGCAAAAGCCAGGTCCATTCTCTAGGGCAGCCTTTGCAGGCCACGCTCTGCTTTGGGGCAGGGGAGAAGGGTCGGCCTCTAGGGCTTCTGATTCCGATGAGGTTCAGCAAAGCGAATGGCCGTAGCTACTTGCGCCAAGGAGGACTCGGGGAGGGTTTCTGCCAATCAGCCCTGAGAAGGGGCATGAGACTGGTATCGCCTCTGATCCCCACAGGTCCCTGTTCCACAACCACATTCAGATGTTGGGTGCAACCTTTGACGCTAACCCATCAACCTTAACTGCCCGTGTGTTTCTTGAGGAGTAGTAAGGGGCTTTTAATAAAGGTGCAACCCTTTCAGCATTTTATGAGCATCACTAGCTTCCTTCGTTCCACCTTTCACAGCGTTCCAACAGCCTGAAATATAAACAGGAGTGTTACAGCCACCATCTGACCTCCTCACACCAGATGTAGAATGATCTTGAACGTTTCTCACAGCAGCTTCGGTAGGCAGTCTTTGAGCTATTTGGAGTGGGCCGTGGGCCCCCACACAAAATGGCTCTCCTGGTGAGCGTGGCCAGTCACAAAGCAACCATGTACCAAGAGAAAATAACCACATTGTGCCTCCCCACTCCACTAGCCCCAAAGATGCTCCCGTGCTTACATTTAGCTCCTTGTCTGGGCACCCTTCCAGACAAAGCCACAGCGTCTCAGCTTCTCAGAAGGCCTCGGAGGCTGATGGAGAACCCAGAGACATTCTTGGAAACAGAAGGAAGACTGTGCCAGGACTGTTGTTTGGCTCCCATGCAGCTCTTAACATTCTAACTAAAACATACGTGGTGCAGGAAGAACCCAGCAACGAGTATGTTGGGCAGATTGAGGCCAACCAGCCCTGTGTTGCCAAACTTCTGAACTTGCTGTTGCCTTTCCCAGTTGACACCCATCTCTCCTTCCTTTCTGGACCGTTATTGCCCGTAACAGGCCTTTTCCAACTTTTACAACACCCCCTCCAACACTGACAGGGCAAGCTGCTGTAGATAAACGGAGAGCAAACCCCACTCTCTCATATATTATACTCCCTTGGAAGATAATATATGCAGCTCAGAGCACTGAAGATGTCACCTAGTCAGGTAATGAAACATCTGCAAGAAAACCACCAACCTCAGAGAACCCCACGGACTCTGCTTTTCCAACTTGGCAGTTTTCAATGTAGCCATTTGCAGCTTCTGTAATTAATGGGAATTACAGTACCGCACATCTGAGCGCACTTGGCTAGAGAGACTGCCTTTAACTTGTGGCATTTCACTCCATCCTTAGCTGGTAGAAGTCAATGGCTCTCCAAGGCTGAAGGTGACCGAAGACCCAGAGAAGACAACCTTGCCCGGAAGGAAAGTGGTCTACAGACTTTGGGATGCTGCAGGTATGATTGGTGATCGCCTTGGACCATGCCAGACTACCTGATGCTTTCAGAGCCTCTTGGCCTACCCAACCTCCTGGATCTACAAAGGGAGAGAACTTTTCTAGGCAGATGCATTCAATTCTTGATTTAGGTGGAGGTGGGTGTGGAGGTCCTGTGGCTACCTGTGGCCCACCCAGCGCTGCAGTGGAGTGGAGAAGCCATGTGGTGGGCCAAGCAGCCCTAGTGACTGGGGCACCATCTGAAACTTGAATCGTTCCATCCATACTTGCATAGATATGAACCTGTCATGCTATTCCCTTTCCAGAGGGCAGAAAGAGAGTTAGAAATGGTAAGCCAAAAAGTCAAATATGTGAGATAAGGAGAAAGAGCCCATAGATATTGGCCTCCAACCCCATCATGGCCATGGTCAATCAAGGCTTTCACGTGATGCTTTTTGGTAAGATAGAGAAGGCGTAGACTTCATAGTTGCACCTATTCCCCATGCAGTATTTTCTGCCTGTGGCAAGGACAGTCCTGTCAATTTGGGGCAGGGAATCACAGGAGCAACCCAAGCTCAGTTTTACCCCAAGTATGGCTATATGATTCTGTGCAAGAGAGACCTACACAGATCCTAAATGGGCTGTGCTTTATTCATGGAAGTCCTGGGGACCAATGGCTCTCAGCCTTGAGGCATTGGAACTGCCTCTGAAGGGCATCTGCTGGGAGACTCGTAGGCTTCCTTGGCCAGTTGGTTGGCCACTGGGAGACCAGACTGCCGGATCAGATGGGCCAAGGGTCTGATCCAGCAAGGTGCTGCTTATGTTCTTATAAACTTATATCTTGGCTCTCTGCAGGATTCCCATGTATGGATCTCATGGCATTGGAGGAAGAGTCTGCCCCCGAGGCTGGCCAGGAGGTTGAGTTTTGGCCTCTAGGAGGAACCGAGAAAGCTGGGAAGTTGATTCCTGCTGCAGTGGAAGTCCTTCACCGCGTCTACTTTAAAGATGGACAGGTAAGGTGGTAAACTCCCTTTTGCCATCTGCTGTCCATTGGGAATCACGCTGTCCTGCAGCAGAGTCTCAGGGCTTCTCCTCCAGATGTGATGGAATATGGTCCCAAATGGGGGAGAAATACAAGATCTTCCTCTGGGAGCCAAGAGATCCTTTGCTTCATGGGGGTGCTTGGGTAACGAGTACGGCCCCTAATATTTTAGTATATATCAGAGCTTTGGAAATGGTTTGAAAGAACTGCTTTGGACCTTACACAAGCACAGCACATTTCTGCTGTTAACGAACATTGTCTGAGCTTTCCCGGGCTTCTGAGCGCTCCAGGTTAACTGACGCTGGCTTGTAGCAACTATCCAGGGCTTCCAGCGGGGGGATGCTTTTGCATGCAACTACGCGTGCCGCCCCTGAGCTCCCATTAAATAGTAGAGGGAGGAGGCAGAAAATGGAGAGGCCGGCGTAAGGGAGAGGCAGGAGAGGCAGAAAGCATCATTTAATGTGGCAATATGAGTGAAACAGACAGTGTCTCCCGGGAAGTATCATTAGAAATTGGTTCCAAGGCCAAATGACACGAAGAAGAAAACCCTTGTCTGAAACCAGAAATCAGCTTGAGAGAGAGGACACCCCCCATTTCTTCCTTATCAGCAAAAGCAGACTTGAAAGCACCATAAGGCATCAGGTGTCAAAGCCATAAACTCAGCTGGAGCTTCTTACATAACAGGCCTGGAGGGGGACCAGGAATTTAAGCAGAATTTAGGGGCAAGGGTGAGAAAAGACAGAGGGCAAAATATGTCTTCATTTTTTTGTTTGTTTTCTTTCACTTCAATTGATCTACCTCAAAATAGGTACATGGATAAAAACAGTGGGGAGGGGGGTTGAAAAGAGATCATCTTGGGTTCTTGTTGGTCTCCGAGCCTGGTTGTTTTCTTGCGGACGTTTCGTTGCCCAGCTAGGTCACATCCTCAGTGCTCTGAGCTGCATCTATTCTCTTCTGAGAGATCATCTTACCTCCGTTCATGACTGTGACCAACATGAGGCATGAGCGGTTAGGTAAAATATTCATTAGATCACAAAAAAATATAAAAAGACAGCCTGTGCTGAAGCCATTTCAGCTCTCTGAAAGGGAAGTGGCATCTTTGTTTCAGACTGATTTGCTAAGAAATTCTTTTTATGCGATTTAAAATAAAATAAAATCTTCCTCAAGCCAGGCTCAACTCCTGGGAATTATCTGGATATATCTGTGCAATTTGCTTAGCAACAGCACGGAAGGGTTGGCCAGTGGTACCTTCTGAGATACTTTGGACTTCCCAGTCGAGACTAATGGATTCCTCTCCCGAGTAGGGCTGACCCTGCTTTGCTTTTCAAGATCAGCCAGAATGAGCTTTTCTGCATATAGATCAGCTCAACTGGATTCCCTCCTTGGGCTTGTAGGCCACTTTAACAGCAGTTGACTCTCAACAGCACACACTCAAGCTTTGTAAGAAATGTTAAAACAACATAGGAAAGAACCTTTCCAATCAATATCCTGATGCATTGCAAAAACAAGGGTGGGGCTTTGACCACACAATCACCATCTTGACTTTTTTGACACCCTCCCCACAGATGCTCTTGCAGCTGTCAGAGGCCACCACACAGGAAACCTCAGTGGACAAACCTCAAGATTCAGACAGAGAGCCAAAAGTTTCTTTAATCTGATCCTGCAACTGGTACTTGTGATCAATACCAACAGAACCTCTTTCTGTCCTTTAAGCAGTCCTGACTACAACCATTACCTTCTGCAAACCCCTGGAACAGCCACATTTTCTTGCATGCAACGGGGTTGGTGCTGAGGTGACCTCAGGTGGAGCCCTGTTCCAAAGGGGAAGGGCAGCCATAGAAAAGGCATGTCCTCATGGTCCCTGATGATGATGGGACTTGAAGTGCCTCTCCCTTACTAGATCCTATTGGACAGGCAGAAACCAGGGAGAGGTCCCTCAAGCATGCCAGTGCTGGGCCATGCAGGGCTTTCAAAGTGACAGTCTACTCCTTGAATTGCACCTAGAAGCCAACTGGAAACCAATGCAGCTCTCACAGTAGCCGTGACACGCAGACGGCTTGGGAAGACCCCATCATTACTCCAGCTGCTGCATTCTGGACCAGCTGTAGCTTCCAAGTGGTCTTCAAGGGTAGCTCTAAGTAGAGTGAATTGCAGTAGTAGTGGGACGCATCTGGAGGGCACAAGGCCAAGTTAGGCTGCTTTAGGACAACCTTTGTTTGAAGGTCCTCCTCTCTTTCTGCTTTTCTCACCCCAAAGGTTTGCCAGCCCCTTCCCACCCTCATGGAGATCAAGATTCACGCTCAGACGTCGCTGGATAAGCTCAATCCTGTCCATAAGAGGCTGCAGGATCCGGAGGCCTACCAGGTATTGGGGAGAAACCATGTAGGGCAGCCCCATTCTTTTAAATCCCATTTTGTTCAGGCAGGCTAGATGAAAAGGAAAGAAATCCCTCTAATGTTGGACTAGTGAGCACAAAATAGACCAAGGAGAGATGAAATTGGGGGTCTAATCTCTCATACACGGTTTTTTGAAAATGTGCATCTCGCTGTGTATCTCAGCTTCTCCCCCCAGATAGCGTGTCAGGCCTCCATTGTCCCAGCAAGGACAACCATTAGCCAGGTTGGGATGAGGGGAGCTGTAATCGGACACTTTCGGGGGCCTTCAGGCAAAGAAGGCTCTGAAGATGGCAGCGGGGTGACTTAGCTCATGTGGCAAAAAGGGGTGATGCATCTACCGGAGTTGAGCTGTAAATGCCGCCTTCAGCAAAGGAAGTCACAACAGGCTGCAAGCTGGTCTGTTCTGCCTTCCCAAATGACGTTTCTTCTGTTACTCGGATGGAAACTTTCCTCTTCAGGAGATGCAACACCGCCGTTGCTGCGTAGTCGGTTGGTTGCACAACTCATTCATATCCTGCTGAGGGCCCTCCGTTCAATCCAAAACTGCTGAACGAAAAAGAATATCTAGATCAATGTTCCCCAACCTTGGCAACTTTAAGATGTGTGGACTTCAATTCCCAGAATTCCCCTGTCAGCTGTGTATGATCTAGAGCAGTGTTTCTCAACCTTGGGAAGTTTAAGAAGTGTGGACTTCAACTCCCAGAATTCCCCAGCCAGCATGAAGTCCACACTTCTTAAACTTCCCAAGGTTGAGAAACACTGATCTAGAGAAAGAATTAGCAAGTTGTTTTGGACAGCAATCCTCATGGTCCTTACCATACTTTAGTTGGGGCGGATGTCACATTTGTGGGGGTTCCTCCATAGCACCCAGGAATGGATTCTTGAGATGGTTAATTTGGGAATGCCGACTGTTTGCATCATGTGCGCAGCCGTCACACATGCCTTCTACCCCCTTGGTCCATTTCAGACTGTGGCTCCCACAGTAACTGCCCCCATAAGCAGTAGGGGTTCAACAAGAATGGGAGAAGCCCACCCCCAGCCCTGGTGCATGCCTGGGGGCACTGAATTTAGACCTAGACGTACAACCTGCTGGCCTTTCAGGCTGAGGTTCTTGCCAAGAGTGGGCCTGGAAACTGCGCCAGTCTGATGGGGGGGGGGTGCTTCCCCAAATACAAAACTAGGCTGTCCAGCCCCACCTGGCTGGGCAGGAGTGAGGAAGGAAGAACCACATGGATTTCAGGAAAGGGTCTTTCCTGGAGTAAATTCAGAATCTTGAAGAATTTCCACCTTCCTTTGTAGTGATTTCATTAAGGTGGGGTCTCCTCACGGGAGTGGAAATGCTTCTTCCCAGGTTTCTGGCCACCAAACCTGACTTGCCCTTCATGAGGCCAGCTGTCCACGGGCTGCCCTCCTATCTCTTGATCGTTTGGGTCTCCTCTTCCAGTCCCTCCCAGCCTCCCCTCAGCCTCCCCCCTCAGCCCTCCTGGAAACTGCTCAGGGTGCCTCCCCCAAGGTTGTCCTGCCCTTTGATCTGAATTCCTGTCCCCATCCTGGACCTTTGGGGGACCTTCCGTGAGGCTGGCCTTGCTCATCCTTGGTTCTTCCTTGGATCCTGGCTTCGGCGTGGCTTGTCCTGGGGCCCCTTCCTCTCTGGTCCTTCCACCTTCCCAGAAGAAGTTACCCCCCATTGCCCTCCGCCCAGGTCAGCTTCTGTCCCCATCTGGCATGCATAACCCCGAGCCAACGCCACGGCCTGTCCCCACCCGGTCCGCGGAGCCGCCCCTTCATTTCCTGTACTGAGAAGACAGGCGTAACTCCTGCAGGTACTAGGATCTCGTACACAGCTTGGAATCGGGTGATAGAAGTTTGCGTTGGCCTTCTGGGTTCTCACTGCATGGGCATGGCGAGTTGAGGGGTGGGGGTGGTCCAGGCCCCCTAACTGGGCACTTCTAGCTCAGCTCTGCTGTCCACGACTGCGGCGGGTGGCCGCGTCCCTCCGGAGCCCAGCTACTTAGCAGCTTTCCGCCAGGAGTGGGGAGACCGACCCCACTGGCAGATCAGGCGTGTTGCCTCGGAAGCCCGCCTTGTCCCCTCGAAACCCTCTTCACCAAGCGCTGGTTTGCTTCAATCTCAGGTGGCCGTGACGAAAAAGCTCTACCTGCTCCTCATCGACCTGCAGAAGGGCAACAGCCCCTGAACGCGGCGCCCGAGCATCACTCCAGCACCATGCACTGAAACCAACCAGTGGCTGCTGTGGGGATGCACAGCTGCTCCATCCTCAGGACTGGACGAGTCCCCAGACTGGGGGCTGCATGCTGCCATGCCAACACCAAGCCATTCGCATGCCCACACCACCACTCCTCAGTCACCCTGCACCACGCACCCAGCAAGACTCTGTGTCCCCTTCCCAGGGACCCGGCCAAGCCACTGGGGAGAGGAGAGGAGAGGAGGGTCGCTCCTGCTGGAACCCCACCATGAATGGCAGCAGCCCCCCCCCCCCAGTCTTGGTGTGCTGGGTGGAAGGAGGAGCCCCCCAAGCCCTTTTCTGTCTCACAGCACACGGGCCGCTGGCAGTGGGAATCGCTGGAAGGATGCAGGCCTAGGGATGGCGGTAGCCATGGTGATGTCATGACACGAGTGACCTGCCTCCCCCGCTCCCCAGAGCCCCCGGGATCCAATTTGTGGAGATCCCCACAGGCTAGAGAATCTGCTGGTTGTCAAATTGGGTGAGCCTCCCTGGGTGTCCCCCCGCCTCCCCCCCCCGAGCGAAAGCCTTTAGCAACACTGCACCTTTACGTGCCTTTTCTTGCTTTGAGAACTGTGTGTCTTTTCTCCCATGAATGTGATCTGCGTGGAATCTGGTTTCTCCTCCTCTCTTTGTAGTCACACACTGCTGTGCTAAAAGGCTCGCTGGCCCAGCGCGCAGCAGCCCGTGGACCTCTAACAGTTTCCTGGCTCCAGAGGCTCAGGGTGGGCGTGGAGGGGCCCTTGCTCCCCTGTGTGGGTCAGGGCTGGCCCGTGCTGAGGGTGTGGCACGCCTGGAAAACCTCCCAGTTACCTTGTGCAGAGCATCTTATGGGATCTTCTTGGAATCGGAGCCCTTCAGGGAATGGGGATTCGGCTCCCGCCTCCAAGGCATTGCTTAAAATTTTGACCAACCCCGGGCTCTGGGTGCTGTTCAACATTTTTATCTGTGACTTGGAGGAGGGAGTGAAGGGGCCAATTCCCAAGTTTGCAGATGACACCCAACTGGGAGGCATTGGTGATATGTCGGGGGGGGGGGGAGAAGATTCAGAAGGAGCTAAACGGGCCTGAGCAATGGGCTGGAATGAACAGGATGGAACTGAAGAGGGGGAAATGTCGAGTTCAGCATCCAGGTAGGAAAAAGTGAAAGACTCCAGTCAACGATGGGGGAAGTCCTGGGTTGGCAGGGAAAAGGATCTGGGTGTCCTTGTTGACCATAGATGTGAGCCAGCAGGGTGGTGCCGCTTCCAAAAAGGCAAATCCTATTGCGGGATGTAGTAATGGCAGCATAAAGTCCTCGCGGGAAATAATTTGCCCCCTCTACTCTGCCCTTGTTAGACCCCATGTGGACTCCTGGGTCCAGTTCTGGGCACCCCAGTTCAAAGGGACTTTGACAAATTGGAGAAAGTTCAGAGAATGGCTGCCAAGATGGTGAAGGGTCTGGAGACCTATGTGGAAGAGCTAAAAGATCTGGGCGGTTGAGCCTGCAGAAGATACAATTAGGGCAGATGTCATAGCAGTCTACACATTTCTGAGGCATCACACAGAAGAAAGAGTGGAGTTGCTCGCTCTTGCTTCAGAGTGCAGGACCCAAACCAGTGGGTTAAAGTTATGAGGAAGGAGGTTCAGACTGGACCTCAAGAGGAACCTCTTCGCTGTGTGAGCTGTCAGCCAATGGAAGAGGCTGCCACATGAAGGGTGGGATCTCCTTCACTGGAGGTCTTCCAACAGCAGCTGAATGAACCTCTCTCCAAGATGCTGTAGTGCAGTGTTTCTCCACCATGGCAACTTTAAGATGTGTGGACTTGGACTCCCAGAATTCCCCAGCCAGCATTCTGGGAGTCCAAGTCCACACATCTTAAAGTTGCTAACTATAGTGTCTGTTCCCCTGAGCAGGGGCTCCACTACGTGACGCATATGACCCATTCCCGTTCTATGGCACTACCACCAACAAATCCAAGGCCATTAGGGTTGACCTTCTTCCAACTGGTTTCCACTGGACTGGATAACTTGTCCTGCTTGTCAACCTCCTGCTTCTGGGTGATGGAAACGTCTAGTGGGAAGTGTAACAGAACAGGTTTCCTTCAGAGCAAGGCTTCCCCAACACAGTGACCTCCAGCATCGTAGGCGTCAGCTGTCAATGTAATGAAAGGCTTGGAGTTAACAGGAGTTGGAATTAAATACATGGGGGGGCACCCCATGGCAAAAGATGCTGTGAACCATTCAAGTCCCAAACATCTGGTTTATTTTCCAAATGACCCTCCGTTCCCAAAAGGTTTTCTGTCCCAAGAGTGTTCTCTGCTGTGGTTGAGTGTTCCTTGGGAAGGGGCCAGGGGCCCCCTTGGGGTCTTTCTTCCTCTGCATCTTTGTGGATCTGCTAAGCACCCCACGTGCTGCTCAGTGGCCTCTGCATGTGTTTTTTTTTTCTTGGTCAATACTAAAACAGCGAAGACTTTAGACTCAAGTTCAGCTTTTAATGTCTACCTGAACACATTCTCTCGGCACTGTACAGGAGCAATCTGACACAGCTGCCTTCAGGAGTATTTTTCCCCCAATTTCTCAGTCTAAAGCACAACCAGGGGTGTTTGCAGGGCCAAAAAAGTCAAGGTGGCAGCTGCAACACAAGAACTAAACTTCCACCTGGTTTTTATGTGAATCGTATGGTTACCATTTTGACTTTTCTGACCATACCTGGAACACCTGTATTGCTGCAGGATTTCCATCCAAGCACTAACCAGATTTGATCCTCGTTTGCTTAGAGGGAAGGATCTGATGCCAGCCCAAAACAGTAAAACTGGAGTAACTTATTACTGGATTTTAACTTTGGGTCAGAATAAACTGAATTTTTCTTTTAAGTATATAATAGACACAGGTGGTCACATGCTATTTAGAGAACTGATATAAATTATTCTAATCCTGTTTAAAAATATTAAAAAATTATCTTTGTTCTGAGTTTCCCCGCAGTCCTGTCTTCTAACCCAATGCTGTGTAAGTCTGTTGGCATTCTGGGCACAGGTAGGCAGAATCTCAATCTCTCAGGGAGTCGGAGAAAGGTGAGGCCACGAGCTGTTGCAGCCGGACCACCCTGCATTTCTCCAGTATCCCGGGTTCAAGCTGGTTCTTGACTTCATCCCCATTAAGGATGTCTTAATCTTCCCATGACCCTTACCACCTTTCTCAGCCTTGGCTTCAGGGGGTGCCTCCCATCATCCTCTCCCAAGCAGGAGCTGATGGGTTCTGTAGCCCAGCATTTGAAGGAGCCAGCTTAAGGAAGCTGGCCTAATAGGTGGGGTCTTTGGTCCCTCACTATGGTTGGAGCCTCTCGCAGGATCTCAGATGCTGGGCACGCGGCCAGGGAAGGGGATCTTGTCCCTGCACAGCTGCTGAGCGAGTTTGCAGGGGTGAATTTGAACTCGGGGTCCGGGGAGTCGATATGAGCAAATTTTGCGGGCAGGTCTTTTGATCTGCAAAATTGTTATGCAGAGTTTGTGTGTTCCCAGTCAAAACGAGGTTTGGAATCAGCTGCACCATCTAACCCTGGTGGGATCTGTGTTGGATCAGTGTTTCTCAACCTTCACACCTTTAAGATATGCAGACTTCAACTCCCAGAATTTATTAACAAAATAATTTAAATTTGCTGCAGATGACTGAACAGGGTTTATGACTTATTGTAGTGTTTCTCGACCTTGGCAAATTTTAAGATATGTGGACTTCAGCTCCCAGAATTCCCTAGCCAGCATGGCTGGCTGGCAATTCTGGGAATTGAAGTCCACGCCTCTTCAGCATCGGCTTATAGGAACGTGGGGAAAGCCCAACATACATCGAGCGGTAAGAGCAGAAGCCCAGATTAAAAGCCTCCAATAAATTCTGTAAAAATCTCCGTTTTTGCGCCCGGAGCACATTCTCTAGCTGGGGCGTCCCAATCCAGCAACCGCCTGGGAAGCTCCAGACGAGCCTTTAAAAACGTCCCCGAAGCTGAATCATATTCGGAAAGAGAAACACCGGATCGCAATGCAAGAAAACGCAACTTTATTCAAAGAAATCCAGCAAACTTTTTAACCGATCGCCCTTTCAGGAGACATCCGGACTCGGGTTCTCAAGCAGCAGCACGGACTCCCCTCCGCGCAAGCGACCTTCTCCTTAAAACGACCCCCCTCCCCGACAGTGGAAACGAACGAAGCGGGAACGGCCCCGGGAGCAGCGCAACGCAACCCAACGG